GGACAGGGCCGACTTAACACCAGGCGGATTATCGGCGGAATTTCTCAAGGACCGGCAACAACGACCTTCCACGGGCGGGAACGCGGAAAAAATTGCAATTGAGGTAAGACACAAGACAGAATCCCTGAGGGCAAGCAGTGTCTGGGGAGAAGAGCTCCCGACAAGCCTCGCGCAACCTGCACACGGGTAGGTTCCCGTCGTGTCGACCGGCGGCGACCCCGCCAGCGGCGTTCAACGTTGAACGCCGCGGGCGACCCAGAATCGTTGATCGTGGAACGATTTGGACGTTTCAGAGACGGCCGATCGTTCAAGGTTGAACGATCCCCGCGGTGTCAGGAACCAACGCCGAAGTCGGCACGACGCGAGCCTGCCGTACCGCGGCCGCCAGGCTCAGAGTGCGCTGGCCCGGGTGTGCCGCTTCGCGCCCCAGACGGATGCCGAGACTGCATACAGCGGCCGCCAGACTCCCAGGGCCCCCCGCTCCCTGGACATCCGCCTCGCGCTCTCGGGGTGGGGATCGCCCGAAGCAATCTGTGCGTGTGCTTTTTTCGCCGGACCAGGCTGATGCGACGCAGCCCAGGGCTGGGGCTGCCTGTTTCACCCCCTCCCCTCTCCTCCTCCCTCTCTCCTCCCCCTCTTCTCCTGCGTTTTCGCCAAGGGGCTCGCTTGCGCTTGTAAAAAGTGTGTGTTTTTCTCGCCACGCGAGGGGCCTCTGCCCTCCTCCCCCTCCGCCTCCCCCCGCGGATCCCACGTGGTGCCGGCTCGGCCCCGCCCCCCCCCCCCCTTCCCACCGTTGGCCCCACTGCCCCCCCCCCCCGCGGCGGTCGGATCGAGGATCGGTCTCGTTCCCCTCATCCTCCCTCCAGTGCTTCTCTGTTCCCCGTCGCATCGACGCGGACCTCACGGTCACCACCGTCGCCACGAAGCCGATCGACGGGCAGAAGCCGGGGACGTCTGGCCTCAGGAAGAAGACCAAGGCCCCGTGTGTTTCGGGAGGGAGAGGAGGAAGTGAGGAGAGCAGAGGAGAAAAGAGTAGAGGAGAAGATATGAGAGGAGAGGAGGGAAGGGAGGGAGAGAAGGGGAGGACGGGAGGAGGAGGACGAGGACGAGGAGGAGGTGTAGGACAGAAGAGGAGACGGAGGAGGAGGATGACAACACGAGGGAATCTCACCAGGCTCGCTACAGGCTTTAAGGAGGACGCACGAACTTGTCCAGAAGGATGAGGCGGCCACAACAGGAATATTGGCGACTGTGCAACTGCAGGGATTTCATAAGCCAGGGGGGAGGAGGGAAGCGATGAAGTTGGTTTCTTCCTCCACTCGTGTCGCTGTTGGAAGTTGGTAAGACGATTGTGCGCGGCATTGTTGCCAAAGGCACATGTCGAAACGTGCCCCATCACAAACGAGAGTCACAATGTGAAAACGCCCCCGTCCATTATTATAGTTGTTGGATCAAGTTGGGAACCTTTAGGACGAAGGCTCGCGGCGCTAAGGCGAGAGACGCATTTTGGAAACGAAACCACTCCATCCACGTAGCTGTTGACAATGTTTAAGACGAGTGTGCGGGGTGCTACAACGAGAGCTACTTGTTCAAAACGATGCCCCTCCATCCTTATACGGATTGGAAGTTTTTCAGACGAGTATGCGCGGCGTTGGGGTGAGAGCACTATTTTGAAAGGATTCCGTGTTAGAGATTGTCAAGTTTCGGCGCCATAAATGGGAGGGAGTCTCAGGCGAAACGCCTAGTCCGCCCTAGCGACACGCGTGGTGGTTCGATGAGAAGGGTTATCAAGAAGGAAAGGGTATGGAGCGGAAGTGTGGATCAGCGGAACAACGGCAAGGAGGGGGGAGAAGGGATGCGGGGGACGCACAAAGGATGGGGAAGCAAGAAGCGTAGAAAGACGAGGAAGAGTCCTGACATTCTCGCGCTGTGGAAAAACAGGACGGATGGTTCGGATTATGTTTGTTGTTTCCAGGGGCTTTAGCGGGCCTCTGGGTGGATGGGAAATTTGCCCCAAGCAAATGGTCCAAACCTTTCAGGAGCAACGTTGTGACAAGTCACGACGTCGGATGTTTGGGGAGATCAGAAGGAGGAGGAGGAGGAGGAGGAGGAGGAGGAGGAGTAGGAGGAGGAGGAGGAGGAGGAGGAGGACGAGGAGGGAGAGGGGTCACGCCTTGCGTCCATCCAAGGTCTTCATGGGAGAGAACTATTTGGCCAACTACGTACAGAGCGTCTTCAACACGCTGAAGGACATGAAAGTTCCCGTCGAGGGCGGTACCCTTGTCGTCAGCGGCGACGGACGTTATTGGAACAGTGAGGCGATCCAGATCATCATCAAGATGGCCTTCGCGAACGGTGTGAGCACCGTATGGTGCGGAACTGGCGGACTTCTGTCCACGCCGGCGACCTCTGCGGTCATCAGGTGCCATGGCAAGGGCTTCGTGCCCTTCGGTGGCTTCATCTGCTCCGCTTCTCACAATCCTGGCGGCATCAACGACGACTTCGGCATCAAGTACAACTGCGAGAACGGTGGCCCGTCACCAGAGAAGATGACTGATCTGATGGTTGCCTGGACCTCAGTGGCAACGTTGGGGCGGGGGATAGGCTCAGGGGGGGTGTATCGACCCCCAATCGCTCATTGATCGCTTACCCCGCTCAGGAACGTGCGATTCTGCTATCGGGGGCCTATCGGCGAGGTATCGCCGATTCAAGCCCAGTGTTTCTCCGTTGAGCTGGTCCCCTGGTGGTTTACGGGTTATGGCTCGCGTCCCAAGCGGCCGTTCGGGTCGATCCGGGTACCGCCGGAGCGCTCTGGGCGAGGCGTAGCCGCCGGAAGGCATCCCGAGGCTGGAAGGCCGCCGAGAACCGACGGAAACGCCAGAGAGAAAAGCTGGAACCTATATTGTCGATGTTCCCCCCTGAGCTGGTCTCCCCTGACGTCGCCCCTCAGGACCGCCAAGCTCACCGAGTACAAGATCTGCGACAAGCTGCCGGTGTTCGACCTGGCGTCCCCAGCCACGTACAAGGTCGGCGGCCACACAGTCGAGGTCTTCGACTGCGTGGACGACCACCTGGCTCTCTTGAAGAAGTGCTTCGACTTCGAGCAGATCAAGGCTCAACGGCAACTCCACGGGGGGGATAGGCTCAGGGGGGAACGAGAGGCAGGAGGAACGGCTTCGAGGTTCGAGATGTTCGGGTGTTTTCGTCAGTTCTCGGCGGTTTGTCAGCCTCGGGATGCCTTCCAGCAGTTGCGCCTCGTCGGGAGGCGTCTGAAGATGCTCCGATCGTCCCGACGGGCGCGGGATAGTGAAATTATGACCCGAGAGCCGGGAGGCAACATTAAGGGTCCTCGATCTCGCTGGTGTTCTCTCCCTCGATCACCTTCGGCGTGTTGGGGTGGGTACAGCTCGAAGAACCCGGTCAAAACGACCGATACCCTGCTATCGCGGCCAATCCCCCGCTGCAACTGCTCTGGGAGATAGGCGCTCGTTTTGTTTGGGCCAAACGCTGGCGCGGTAGGTCAGCATGTGAGTCCAGTGAAACAGGGGAAAGCGTGTCTTCACCCCCCACAATTCACACTCATACTATTTTCTCTGACTAAGCGTGCCTACGAGCCGACGCTGGCTCAGTTCAACAACAAACAAAACATCCGTAAATATGGAGGTGCCGCTCACTCACGATAACTTGAGCGACTGGGTCATGTAGTAGTTTATTTTGTCGAGGATCGTCCGGCCGTCGGTGCTCTCGACCGGCTCAAGAGCTCCTGCTTCTGCTTCTCTAGGCGAATAGCCTTGACCTCCGCGCGAAGCTCCTTCTCCTCGGACCACCGCTTCGTGTCTCGATCCACGAGCAGAGTGTCACAAAGGCGGCAGCGCACCTTCTCCTTGTACTGGTTGGTGCCAACAGTCGTGAGCTGATCCGCTGGATGTATGCATCCGTCTGGGTCAACTCTGCAAGTACTCCGTGACTTTCCTTTTCCTGTCTCGTTGCCCTTGCCCTTGGGGATATCCTCCGTGTCGCAACTAGCTCGACGGCACTTGCTGCATCTTGCGACCACCAGCTGGTACGCCTCAAGGATATCGTCCTCCAGCACGTCATCGAGGTCGTGCTCCACCTGCTTGTAGGATGCATGCTTCAAGCGCTCATGTAGCTTGCGAGCCTTATCCATCGGCAATTCCGTCGTCTTCCCCTTGGACGTCGATTCTCTGGACTTCTCAGTCTCGCCTGGAACCTCGACCCACTCATCGCCGTCATTGGGGACGGGGACGTTGTGGTTGGCCTTCTTGCGAGTCCTCGGCTGACACTCGCATTGGTCTACAACCATCCGGCACACCGCACACGCCACCAGCGTTGTGCCAGCTCCAGCGGCGCCTCCTCCGATCTCCTCGGTCTCAGCACCTGCGGCGTCCGTCATGTAGATCTCCTTCGCGTCGTCCAGGTCTGCAGTACCGTCTGTATTCTGACTCTCGTCCGACTCCACAAGTACACCCTCGTCCGAAATTACATTCGTGTTCTCGTGGTGCTCGATATCCTTGGTCATGTCCGTCTTCTTCAGGTTGTGCGTCTCCGTGAAGTCCTTCTCGTAGCGCTCGAGAGCCTCTTTGGTCCGCGCGTATATCGTCAGCAGTTTACGCGCTTGGGTCGGAATCCTCCGACGCTTCGCCACCTGGTCCAGCCCTGACCAGTCGACCATATCCTTCAGCTTCTCGTAGTGGATGTCGTCCTCGCGCTGGCCCAGCATCATCCGCCAACGGAGGTAGTGCTTGGGAGCAGGTCGAGCCGCATGCGCATTGTACCCCAGGTCCGCAATGCAGTCCTCGAAGTGCGGGTAGCCTTCTCGTACAAAAGTCTGGTCAGCAGGTCGATGTCGACGAGGATACTTCGAGCGGTAGTACTCGCCCCTGCGACCCTTCAGCTCCATCCCTTGCTCAGAGATGACCTGCTCTGCCATGGGGTCCTCCGTCAAACGGTATTCGCCCGTCCGGAGCACATACCTCATGTAGTCGCCTGCGCGGACGTCTTGCTTGCTAAGACAGTCGGCGAGCATCTGCTTGGTGTTCACCCACTTGCTCACCACGCTGTTGAATTCAATGTCGTTCCTGAGCGACTCGATGTCGATGAGCAGCCGCTTCTCGGACGGAACCGTCCCTCGCTTCTGAAGCAGGTCGTAAAGCGACTTGCAGTCAGTGACCCCCACCATCTTGATCGCCTTTACGTCGTCCATGTGCGTCCAGTAACCCAGCCCGTGGTGCAACTCCATCAGGCGCTGCCTCAGCATGTCGCCATTCTCGACCGCCTCCAGAGCTGCCATCGTCTCGGCTGCCAGGGTACTCCATACTACCCGCTTGATGCGACGTGATCGCCACAGCATCGGGGTGACCTTGGCAGGCCTCCCGCGTAGGAACTGATCGTCGGCGTTGCCCCCGAACAAGATGACCATGCCCTCCTGGCTAGCGGTCTTCGTCTTGCCCACGTTGCCGTGGCTCGAGTCCCCCACTGCCACCACAATCATGTTGTCCATGTCTAATTTCTAGAAGGTGATGTCCACGTGGTCGGTCTTGGCATCGCTCACGAGCTTGTTATAGTCCAGCAGATCTTGCACCGTCAGGTCGCTGTCGTGAGCCCTAGCCTGGCTTTCCACCAGCCGGGGCGCCAAGTCCATCCGCGTAGAACGGACCAGCCACTGGATTTGGCCCTTGCCGCTGTGGAGCATCGCCCTTTCCTCCAACGTGGCCTTCGCCTCCTTTGTTTTTCGACGTTCGGCCGAGATGTGAATCTTCTCGATGCTCTCCGTGTACTCCTCTTGGCTGCATGTAATCGTGCCGTTGTCGCTCTACTTGAGGAAGCGCCCGCAGTGGTGGAAGCCCACTTTCGCCGTCTGCCACTGGCCGCATCAGTGCACCTTCCTCAGCTTGGCCACCTGATTCGCGAAGAACTTGGGCGACCCCGCGACGAGGTCGTCGTCGACGTGCGTCCCTATCAGACTGATCAGCTTCCCCTTCTCATCGTGGAAGATGAAGAGGGCCGGGCACAGCTTGGATCTCGAAGCCCCGGGAAGCGATAGGGTGGCGTCGCGATGCCCCCCTTCCGGGACCAACGGCCATCCCAGCTCCGGCGCCGCAGGTGTACCGCCTCTGGGGACATGGAAGTACACGCACCTGGAGCAGTCGAGATATATCTCCCATTCAGAAATGCCGAATCTACGTCGCCCTGCTCGAGGCTCCAGCCTGGCTGGCTGGCAGCTTCCTGGGTGATCACCGCCGTGGCCGTGTCCGTGAGCGTCGGCGCGTTCGTCTGCAGCTCGCCCGCGAGCAGTTGCTTGTCCTTGTAGCCCGGGACGATGTTCCGCGACTTCGCCTTCAGCGGGTGTTGCTCGTACGAGAGGCTGCCCCTCGTCGGCTCATTTTTGTCAGTGCGGACGCGCATCATGGGTAGGATGTCCGCCTCCTCGACGCCCGCAAGCTCCTCTTCACTCGGCCACTCCATAACTGAATCCATTTGCGCCATTCCTCCAGGTCGCTCGCCAAGAATGCCGCCTTCCATTCTGGCGGGATGCTGCGAAGCTCCCGACCTTTCTTCGGGGCAACCTGCTTCTTCGCGGCGTCAGTCCTCCTTGCCACAAATGCGCCCCTCGAGCGTTTCTTCACCTTGAGGGAGAGAACTTCGTCATCCATCTTGTCGTCCTCGATCCTCGGGAGACGATTGCTTGAGAGCTTCAGAACGCACGCGAAGTCGTTCGCGATCTGCTTCGAAGTCGTCAGGTAGAGATCGTTCCTAGAGAGACCCTCGAAGGCCAGGTTGTGGTGCAGGTTCTGGCTGCCCCTCTTGCTCAGGTTGTTGCTGCGAGGCACTTGGCGCAGCAGCCGCGTCTAGGTCCGTAGCACGCCCCTGCCCAGCTGCAGCAGGTGCAGGTGGGTCGTTAGCCGTAACATCTGGCATGCCATGGCCATCTCCGGGTATGTCTTCAGCTCTGACGTCTTGCATTTTGTATCCATCTCCGGGTAGTGGTTCAGCTTTGACGTCCTGCATGTCGTGTCCATCTCCAGGTAGTGGTGGTACTTCGGGTAGCACTCCAGGTTCAGGTGCGTCCTCCTCCTTCGTCTGCTTCTCCCGCTTGGGAGTAGCCTCGGGCCTCCTCGGGGGAGGCGGTGGAGCTTCGGCCCGGGGCGTCTTGGCCGCCGGCGCGTCGCCCGTGGCGTCCTCGTTGTCTGAGTCGCCGTCGTCCTTCTTGCAGCGCCTGGCATGTTGGCCGCCACTCCCGTCAGGCCCAGGCCCGCGCTCGTCCACGAAGCCCTTCTGGAGGGTAGGCCCTCCACGCCACTGCGACAGCTGCCTGGCGAGGTCTTCGTTTTCCACCATCTCGGCCTCACCACGAGAGGCATGCCGCACCTGCTCGGGCGCCACGAGCACCGGCACCCCACGGTAGCTGAGGTGCAGCCTGGTGTGGCCCTCGGCCGCCAGCACAAAGGCCGGGCCGCGCCACCCGTGCTCGCCCTGGAGCCGCTTCGACTTCACGTGCTTCACCTCACGCCAGTAGAACACCAGCTGGCCCGGCACGAACGGCCCGCGCGGCGGGCGAACTCGACCAACCGTGGCCCTTCTCACGGCGTCGTCGCTGTCCAGTTCGAGGAACGCCCAGTTCGTCGCAGCGCGAATCTGCTCGGCCCTCCTGGGGCCATCCTCGAAGAGAGGTGCGCTCTGCGCTGCCAGCTGCCTCTGGTCGCCCTCCGATCAGCGAGGCCCAGACGTTGGGCGATCGTCCCAGTACATACTGGTATGGCGTGAAGCCGTTCCGCCCGATGTGGTTGTTGCACGTGCTAGCGATCACCGAAGTCCACACGGATGGGTCGTCGCTCTTGGTGAGTTGCACGTCGCGGTTCAGGCGCTGGGAATGGTCCTTGAAGGAGTCGATAGCCCGTTCCACTCTGCCTTTGAGCTGAGGCGCCTCGACCGGGACCAGCCTCATCAGGATGTTGTTTTTCTCACGATTTCCGCGAACTTTTGCGTGATGCGGCCCTTCGTTACGTCGTAGTAGAGCACCTTCGGAGGGCCAGCCCACGAGAGCCATCCTTGCGAGAAACAGCGAAGGCTCTCCTCGCCCGTGATGGACCGCACTGCTGTAGTAGGGATGATGACCCTGAAGCTCGACGCGTCGTCCAGGATCACCATAAACATCAACCGTGTCTTATCTGAGAGAATCACCTCGGCATCGTCAAGAAACATGTTCTCGTTGAACTCCGTCGAGCTTCAGGTTGACTGACCTCGTAGTGTTGGGCCTGCCGAGCTCCTTGCACGCGACGCAGTCCAGCTCATCCACTGCGTCTAGCATCTTCTGCGACACCCCGTAGGACTTCAGGCGTCGCTTCAGAGCGTGGGCGGATGGGTGGCTCAGGTTCAGGTGGATCTTCCACAGAGCGCCCCACTGAGCCGTGGCGATGTCCGAAGGGCTAGTCGCCGAAGCTTTCACCTTCGAGATGTAGATCTCGATGTGCTGCGTCTGCTTCGCGATCGTCTGGCTTGAATGCTTCCGGTCGGCTGCCGAGTAAAGGTGCCGTCGCAGGGAAGGATGTCTGCACCTTGGGCTCCTTCACGTAGATCGCGACCACCGTGTCGGTTGGGTACCTCGTGGCTGGCTCGACCGTCGCGAAGTTCGGGTCGTCCGCGTATGCGTGGGAGAAGTCGGCCAGCACGTCCTTGTCAGTGTACATGGCGTATATGCGCCGCACAGCTACGCGAGGTAGGGGAACGGCCTCGTTCTGCCTCAGCACGCGCACGTCAATCAGGTCCTTCCTCAGCCTGAACTCCTTGGCCACCGTGCGCATGGTCTGCTGATCCGGGACCTTCGTCACACCGTCTCCGATACCCAGCTTCTTCAGGTCGGTGCGCCACGCCAGCACTCACCAGGGTCTTGCCCAGGTCGTCCGGCCAGGCACTAGCCCGCGAGAGCGCGCCTCGTCTGGCCGTGTCGGCGTGCTCGTAGCCCTTGTCGCACGCGCGGTCGAGCCACCACTAGAAGCACGAGCCATTGGGCACCAACATGCGCGTGACCTTACGAATCGGTGTCCTGTAGTCGTCCGTCAGTCCGAACATGCACCGGTGCAGCGTGACCATCTCGCACAGTGGAGGTCGATCGCCGTGCCAACGCAACAACTCCACGATCGGCTTCTCGTTCCATGCGCGGCTCGTGAGAGGGTTCTCGCCGATGCCGATACGTCCGCCTTCAGGCTGAGTCCGAAGAACCTTGGCCGAAAAATCAACCAGCGGCCTGAACTCCTCGATCAAATCGTCCACCTGGTCGCCCATGCCCTAAGCACGATGAATTCTTTGCACGTTCAAGAAAGGTGCGCACGGGAACGCGACCGAGACCATCCAGGGCTCGAAGGTCTTTATCAGGATCAGGAGATCCGACTGGATCTGGGGGTCGTTGAAGTTAACCCCGACCGACAAATCTGAGGGGGTCGCGTTCGCATGACCACCCTTCGAGGCTACACGAGTAAAGCGAGCCTCCTTCGTAAACAACTCCCACGGGAAGGTCTCCTGGCTGTCACGCAGTACGTCGAGAATGACCGAATACTCCTTCATCAGTTTGTCGATCCGCTTGAGCGTGCCTTTCTTGAAGATGCCCTTGCTGCCGTTCTTCAGGGCCTCTGCGACCCAAGAGTCGGCGTGATCCTTCACCTGGAAGCCTGGCTCGAACTCCCGCAGCGCCTCCGCGACCAGGAATGCATCCGGCTCGGGCTGCATCTCCTCAACCCGGAACCTCTCGAAGAGGGGCTCCGACTGGTACGACTCGAGGTCGTAGTCGAAGAGGTCGAAGCCTGCATGCCCGCCAGGTAGCTTCACCAGCTCCTTGCCATGCACCCCGAGCTCCTGGAAGTCCGCCCAGTGGCCGTCCTCGCGCATGTAGAGGTTCCTCTACCACTCGGCGAGGTCCTTCTTGCTCGTCAGGCCGACCATGTCGCCAGGGGTTCTCGAAGTACTCCTGCAGCACATGCTTCTTCCCAATGCCGACCGGGATGATCCACTTCTGCTTTGATTCACGTCGTGTTCTGCCGAGTCCGTTGAATTTCTGGTGAGCCTCCAGCTTGATTGGCTTGAGGCCATACTTCGCGAGCTCCGCATCGACGCGGTCAAGCCACCCGCGTCCTGCCACTGCAATCGAGGCCCCGCTATCCATCAAGGAAGGCGGCACGACGTCGCTTGAGATCATCACCTCGAGCTCTGGCCTGTCCGGCACGATCGGATCGCTGTCCATACTCACCATCTGGATGTCCTAATCTTTCTCGGGCTGCCCGCTCACGAAGGCGATGTCCTGGCCGCGCCTCGGGTGCCTGACGTCCATACATGTCGGCACCGCACAGACCAGGGCACTCATCGCCCAGAACCCGAGCCGTCGCTGACGATCGGCTGGTTTCGATCCCTTGCCGCGGCTCTTGCCCTTGGAGGGCTTCCCAGGAGAGCCACCAGTCGGGCACTCGGGCGTGGCGTGGTCCATCCTGCCACACTTACCGCATCGTCTGTCCTTGGACTTGCCACCGTCCTTGCCCTTGCCTTTGCCCTTCCCGGAGCTCTTCCCAGCCGCCTTGCCGCCAGCTGCTGCGCTCTCGTCCACGGCACCGTCGATCTTTTCCCTTGAGGAATCCCCTGGCAGCCCGCAACTTATTCATCTTCAGTCGACTCTCGCGCATAGTGACCAGGGTCTGGTGATATTCGTCATCTTCTCCTGCCAGGTAGGCGTCGGCGTCGTCCTCGATGTAGAACAGATGACTACTTTCCCAGTCCGCGTCTTCGTCCTCATCGTCAGCACACGCGTAGACGCCACGCTCGTCGTCCCACTCATACCAGTACCCGTCATCGTCCTGGACCCAGAACTCACCACAGTGCGCGTCTTCTTCGTCTCGATGTCCGGACTCGCCGTCGTGTACGTTCATCGTCCAGCGCGGTGCTTGTTGCCACCACGAAGGGGGAGATTCCTGAGCGTCGTCGAGATCTTCGTGAAATTGAATGTCTTCTCTGCCCTCGCTATCACCAGGTTGCGCTCGTCCTTGTCGAGTCTGCCTTGCTTCAGAGTGTGGTACCCTAGTTCGTGCGAGCTTACCTTCATGTCCGGGTCCACCTCTAGGTTCCGCTTCGCCACCTCCATGGCCGTGCAGAATGCCGCCATCGGTTATTCGCCCTTGCGCTCGAAGTACGTCAGGTCGAAGAGCGTGTCGAAGGCTTTCGGCAGCTCACGGAAACTGCTCTTGGCGAAGCGCTCGGCCTCAAAGAACTTGAGCAGCACCTCGGCGCCCTTCTCGACGGCATAGTCCTTCGGGCCCGTCTGCTCGATCAGGACTCTGATCGAGTTGTCCGCGCCGAGGAGGTTGCGGTACAGCTTGGGCTCGAGCGCGATCTTCTGCTCCTTGGACTCGCATCCCAGCTCGGCCGCCTGCACCGCCCTCTTGTACCTGGTGAAATCCTTCAGAGTCTCGCCCTTCAGCACCGGTATCTTCGGATCCACCGCACTGTTGTAGGTGTTCGTACTCGCCATGGCTCAGAAGGTATGGCTAGTCCCGCAATCTCTCCTGGAGTCCGTGGGGCCAACCACGGAGCTCCGCTACAAACCTCGTTCTCGCTCGTGCTCGCTCCCTCTATCATCTTCGGCGTGTCGGTGTGGGTACAGCTCGGAGAGTTCGATCGAAACGACCGATACCCTGCTATCGCGGCCAATCCCCCGCTGCAACTGCTCTGGGAGATAGGCGCTCCTTGGGCCCAAATGCCGGCGCTGTAGGTCAGCATGTCAGTCCAGTGAAACAAAGGAAAGCGGGACTCCACCCCCCACAAATCACAGGAGTGGATAGGCTTAGGAAGGGGACGCATCGGCCCCCGATCGCCCATTCGTCGCCGATAGGGGCCCGATACCCCACCCCGCCCAGGAACGCCCAGATTCGCTACTTATCGGGTGCCTATCGCCAATCTCTCGGTGAGGCGATCTCTCGGTGCGGGATCGCCAGTGACAGGTTGATGCTCCCCCCATGAGCCGGTTCCCCTCTGGACGCTGCCCCTCGGAGGCCATGATCGCAATGCCTGAGTTCAGCATGGTTTACGACTGCATGTCTGGCGTGCAGGGCCCGTACGCCAAGAAGATCGTGGAGGGAGAGCTCGGTGCCAAGCCCGGTTCGGCCACCAACGCGGAGCCGAAGGAGGACTTCGGCGGCCCGGAGTCGGCGTGGCACGGCCACGCGGACCCGAACCTGACGTACGCAGTGGAGCTGGTGGCCACCATGGGGCTCGACAAGGGTGGCAACAAGATCAGCACGCCCTCCCCACCCCCGACATTTGGCTGCGCGGCGGACGGCGACGCCGACCGCAACATGATCTTGGGCTCCCAGTTCTTCGTCTCGCCCTCGGACTCGCTGGCGATGATCGTGGCCAACTCTGACCTCATCCCCCAGTTCAAGGCTGGCCTGAAGGGGTGCGCCCGATCTATGCCGACCTCCGGGGCCGTCGACCTCGTGGCGAAGAAGAAGGGCATCGATTGCTTCGAGGTGCCTACAGGCTGGAAGTTCTTCGGCAACCTCATGGACAGCGGGACGCACTACTTCCCCGATAAGAAGACCTACACCCCCTTCATCTGCGGAGAGGAATCCTTCGGCACGGGCGCTGACCACGTCCGGGAGAAGGACGGCATGTGGGCCGTGCTGGCGTGGCTGCAGATCCTTGCCGCCAAGACTCAGAAGGAGGGCAAGCTCGTCACCGTCCAGGACGTGGCCGAGGCACACTGGAAGGAGTTCGGGCGGAACTATCCAGCTGCCTGCGGCAAGCAGCGCCACCGTGTCGGTGCAGCATAAAAGTGCATTCGAGGTGGTTCCACCAAGCTCTCCCAACATTCTAAGTATAACAGTAGCACTATTTTCGGGCAGACTTGGGAGCAGCGCCGCGATGTTGTAGCGTGGCGTCGCTGTACATTGGCGGTGAGAAAGCTCTTGGGATTTGCCTGGAGGCTGATTGAGAACCTATTTGGGGGCCTGTCGGGAGCCTACTTGGCCCTCCTTGGGAGCCTGTTGGAGGCATTTCGGGTGCCTTCTGGTTTCTCGGAGCCGTCTTGGGCACGATGCTTCTGCCGAGGTTTCCCGAAGCTGCTCGGTATATAGGACCATCGTGGGGCCGTCTGGGGTGGGCGTTTCGTCCCCACCCCGCGGCACCCACGCGGTGCATGATTTAGGTCGCTGTCCGATGCCCGATGTCAGAGTTCTGTAGGCTTTGGGGGGGCTACAGCCTCACGCGCCTTGCCCGAACGGGCGCAGGCACGCGCGCTTCGCCGAATGAGCCTGCACTGGCAACTCGCTCGTTCGCCCCCCCTAATTGGACGCCCGCCTGTCTACAGGACCCTACATCGTGACACGCGCGCCAGCGGCGCGCGGGCAGCAGTGACACGCGGATGGTTTGGATCTGGACGGCGCAGGATTGTGCATTCCGGCGCACCCCTCACAAGAATTGCAGGAGTCGCCTTTGCAGCCTCTTGGGGCGGTGTTGGGCTATCTTGGGGAATCAGTCAATTATCGGGCTGGTTCCGTCGTGGGCCCGAGAACAGTGTGGTGACCATACTGTGTGGTGAGTCAGTGGGGATTCGGGGTGACCGCATGGTTTTGGGACTTGGGTCGTCCTCCGAGGATCTCTTGGGCGACTGTGGCTTCTAGGGCCCCAAAAACGTGCTGTGACGGACTGTGCGGTGAGGTAGTTGGGGATTCCGAGGTCGCCGCACGGTCTGTCACCGCACCGTGTCGGGACCCCCAATGATTTCGGGGTTGCTGGAGACGTCGAAGGCTATTTTTCTTGTGGAGCTCAGAGGCCTGCTTGACGCCACACAGTCAAGACTCTAAAGTAAGGAGCAGTTCGGGTTCGGAAGGATCCTTGAGTTGTTCCATGGTTGTCCTCTCGCGCTCCTAGTGCACCCAGGCGCTCTGGGGGCCAACGACTGGCTTCCTTACTGTTTTGGCGTCCTCCCTGGAATCATGCTGGCTGCACCTCGCAGCGGTCTTGTGCCGTCTTGCGGTCGTTCTGAGGCTGCAGAGAGACCCAGGAACGAAAGCACACGCGGGGGTCGATCACACACCGCCCGCGTCGGGGCTTCAAGCTTGGGAACGTCACCCGAAGCCCCACCAGACACCTGCGTAGCAGGCACTTCAGACGCCACACTGTGCTGGTGGTGCGGTGGCGGACTACGCCCGTTATGACTACGAGGGCGTGGACAAGGCCAAGGCCGAAGAGATGATGAAGATCATGGGCGACAAGGCTGGCACTCTGGTCGGCACGGAGATCGGTGGCCAAGGGCTCCCACGAGGGCGCGAAGTTATTCGCGCTTCGCGGTCCTCGTTCCTTCTCCCCCTGCTCCTCGGCCTCCTTTTCTCCGTTTTGGGGGTGCGGCGCGAGAGCGCGAAGTTATTCGCGCTTCGCGGAGCGCGAAGCGCGAAGTTGGGAGCCCCAGGTGGCATGAAGATCGCCACGAACGATGTATTCGAGTATCTTGACCCCGTCGACGGGAGCGTGTCAAAGAATCAGGGGATCAGGTTCATCTTCGAGGATGGCTCGCGCATCATCTTCCGGCTGTCGGGCACGGGCGTGGCAGGTGCCACCGTGCGCCTCTACCTGGAGAAGTACGAGGGTCCAGCTGGCGACCTTGGCAAGCACCAGTTCGACGTCGTGAAGCCGCTGGCCGATATCGCGCTGGAGCTCTCCAAGCTGCAGGAGTTCACGGGCCGCGAGAGTCCCACCGTGATCACCTGAGCCTCCCCATGGGACGTCAGGGATGCGAAGGTCTCCCTGGAAGGCGCTCCCCGCTCTGACGTCCTCGCGTCGTGAACAAGAACCACGGCGGACGTTGTTTGCGCTGTGTTCCCCCGTCAGGGGGCCTTACCCGGTCCAAGGGCCGTGAACAAACGTGCTCAGGGCAGACTCCAGGTCCCTGGGAAAAGGTCCAGACCTCTGGGGAACCACGTCGTGACAGAAAGCACGACGTCG